TTAATACCGATAACCCGCGGGATCCTGCGCAAAGTCCTGCGGGATCCTGCATGAATTTTGATTATTTTTTTCAGTGGGCTATGAGCTATTGCACGAGAAAAACGACAGATTACACATAAGATCATATTCAGTCGATGTCGCAAGTGATGGAAGAGGGATTTTTTCATCCTATGTAGTCCACCGCACGGGCTATTCAATAATGCGATCAGAACCTTTTTACCTGGGACCATCAGGCCGGCACTGAATGAAAAATGGTTTACTAGAAAAATCTAATTTTTAGGATATCGAATTTATGGCCTAGAAAATCTGAAAAACTGTCACTAATACCTCATTTTGTTCCGAATTTTGTGGTCTTTCCATTGGGGAGACTTTGTCCTTCTTTTGTTTTCATTGCGTTTCAACAAAGAGTGACTTATGCTAGTGTAGCGGTGGCTTGCCTTTTCAGTGGCTTGCCTTTCCAGTGGCTTGCCTTTTCAGTGGCTTGCCTTTTCAGTGGCTTGCCTCTTCAGTCAGTTGCCTTTTCAGTGGCTTGCCTCTTCAGTCAGTTGCCTTTTCAGTGGCTTGCCTAGGTGGCTTGTTGAAATCGGGATTGGGTCTTCTGCCTTGTTTGCCTTTGTTGGGGCATGTCAACAGTGAATTGTCGCTAGACTTGTTACGGAATGAGGATGAAGATATAGAATATGGTGGAAGACTGGCATGTTCGTAGCATAAGCGGCACTTGTAAAACGAAACACGATATTTACCTTGAGATGTAAACAGTTTCATCAGCGCGAAGTAGGTCATTACAAAACAGACTTCAAAAGTATGGCTACAAGTAGCCGCGTTTGTGTGTATGGTCTCAAACTATGCCATTTTGTAAAGGTAAAAAGACTAGTTGAACTTGTGAGATATGAGACATTTAGTTAGTTGTTTCAACATGTACTAAAATGTGTTCGTTTTGACAAATCCAAACATTGATCAGTTGTCTTCATCTGGTGGCAGCTTGACAAGAATATTCGGTATAGATCCACCCCTGTATTCCTTGTATGGACATGATGTTCCATCGCCTTTCTTCTTCCAAACCCATGTTGTTGGGTCAACTATTTTGACTTCTTCTCCATTCATCTTCTTAACATAGATGTGACGCGTCGCCGCATTTGTCGCTTGCACAAGTGCGTATTCAAATCGTTTCGTGTCTCGTGCATGATGGCACACAACTACGCGCAATCAAATACCCACACCTTTGCCTAAATGTTGAGCTCGAGTAGCACCCACCCAAATGTGCAAGACCATGTGAGGCTTCGATTTTTGACTAAAATCACGACGAACAAACATGTCAGCCATTTCATCGAGTAAATCAAGGATACCGATGGAAGCTGGAGGACCAGAGGCTTCGTATGGATGTTTGTCATATTCCGAATAAAGATCGTGAGCAATGATGGCACCGACAATTTCGCCCGGAGGACGATGTTGAGCAAGAAACGACAATCGTTTATCGAGTACATCTACCATCGATGGCCATGTAACTTCATCAAAGACGCACTTTGGTGTAAGTTGCCCAAAAGAGCTGGTAGGCTCGAGTGCACTAAATGCTTCGGCTATCAACTGGTCGCGCATACGAGCGTTCATCTCGTTGTCGATTACTTCGTACACGGATTCTTCGTCATGGGTTATGATGTAAATGAAGAAAAAAAACAGATAGAAAAGACAAGTATCGGTAACATAGATGTGATGCGTCACCAGATTTGTCACGTGCACATGCGCGTATTCACCCCTCACTGCTTCAACGAGCAATCTGTCACGTCACTCTCTCAAGATTGAGAGCAGCGTTTTACTTCTAGTTTCACACACACCCTTCAAATCAGGTGATTACCTTTTGTTTGAAGCA